AAAAACTTCAGCTGTTGAAATGCAGCCTCACATTTATCATCCCACAAGTATGGTGTGTCTTTATGAAGAAGGGACGTCAGTGGGGAGGCAAGTTGTGCGAAGTTCTTAATAAATCGGCGGAAATATGAGCACAGAACCAGAAAACTTCGCAGGTCCTTCACTGTTCGTGGTGGTTCAAAGTTGCTAACCACTGTGGTCTTCTGTGGGTCTGGTCGCACGCCTTCTTTATCCACGAGAAAGCCTAATACGAGGGCTTGACGTTCTCCAAAATGACACCTTTGAGTTTAAGACAAGGCCAGCTTCGCGTGAGCATTCAAACGCAAGCGACAAGCGGTGGTTATGCTCTTGAAAAGTCTTGCCGTAGATAATCACGTCACCCGAATAGCACATGCAAATTTCCCATTTTAGTCCACGCAGTACTGTATCCATAAATCTCTCGAATGTCGCTGGAGCATTGCACAAACCAAAGGGAATAACGTTAAACTCAAAGAGAGCATCTGGTGTTACGAAGGCCGTCTTCTCTTTATCTGAAGGATGCATAGGAATTTGCCAATACCCAGAACGCAAGTCAACAGAAGAAAAATAGGAGGCAGAATGCAGGCAGTCCACGGAGTCATCTATAGGCAGCAAAGGGTAGACGTCTTTCTTTGTGATGGCATTTAGGCGACGATAGTCTACGCAGAATCTCCATGAATTATCCTTTTTCCTGACTAGAATGACAGGAGCGGCCCATGGACTACACCATTCTTGTATGACGCCCTTCTTTAGCATGTCTTTAACTTGCTCAGCGATGGCTTTTTTTTCGGAAGGCGATACACGAGAGGGCTTCTGGCGTATTGGTGGTGATTCGCCTGTATAGATTCGCTGTTGCGTACGTGAAGACGGTGGCGTCCCCGAGCGGCGACGCGGAGGCGGGGATCGCTGTTGGCGTGTGGGTGGTGGGGAAACGCTGCGGTCGGATCAAGGCGAGTCAGCACGTGCTGCGTGTTGCTGTTGGAAAGAGCCCTGAAATGGTCGAGACTCGCCAGCAGGTACATAGGGCGTGTACACGTTGAATCGTGGAGCTCGCTGCTGGTGACGGTACCAGTACCTAGCGATGTGTCCAGGTAGCCCGCAGTTGTAGCAAACACGGGTGTCGCGTCTAGTCGTCCCCGGCGAAGTAGACCTCGTCGGTTGATAAAAACCGGGCGATGGTGGCCGAAGAGTAAATCGCTGTGATACAGCTTGCCTGCGTTCCTGGTTTTCGAGTGGTCGTTCACTCCTTCGTTCGAACCAATCGGTGTAATTAGGGTGAGGCTCGAAGTAGCTCTGTCGCATCCGAGGTACCAGTGGTTCACGGGGCCGTTGGTCGAATGCTTACTGATGGCAGATACCAGCGGTGTTCACAGCTTGCAGTTGAGCAAGTTCTTCCTTAACCACTTATCTTATAAGAGAAAAGATGTCGTCCTGCGATGGAAGGTTGACACTTGCAATCGTGGGCACATTCTCAAGACGTCCAAATTTCGGTAGGACTCTCCTCCTCTTTAGCGCTTCAAACGCTCGGCAGTGTCTCCTTAGGTCGGAAGGTGTGTGTAAGTCTTTCTTAGTGATAAGAAAATTGTACACGTCTTCCACAATTCTCTTGAGCAGATGACCTATCTTATTTTCGTCACACATGGTCGCACTCACGATTCCGCAAAGCTTCAAGACGGCCTCGATGTAGGTGGTTCATGTTTCGCCAGGTAACTGAGCTCTGCGTGAAAGCGTTTGCTCCGCCTACTTGACTTTAGCTGTTGAATCACCAAAACACCTCTTCAGCTCGTCCACGAAAATGTCCTATGTGGTCAATGCACTCTCATGGTTGTCGAACCAAAGAGACGCGGTGCCTACAAGAAAAAAACACCACGTTCTCGAGCTGTATAGCAGTGCTCCAGCGGTTGCTGCGACTCACTCTTTAGTAGTGCTTGAGCCAGTCGTCAACGTCGTCATCCAGCTGCCTCGAAAAGGTCCCCGGCTAACATTCTGGCATGCCGTACCGAGTTTATCCTGGCGGGTGAGCGTGTTGCTCATCAGCAACGAGGTTGTTATGGCCTGCTCCCGCGTCCTCCATGTCTGGTAGCCGTGGTGGCAAGCTTCCAAGCGTCTGCTCCGTCGCAAAATCGGTAGAGCTGGGTCACCCAGATCAATGTACCCGGCACCTCCACCAAACTGTTACGAGTGACTGTGTTTTTTTAAAGATGAGGTGAAATGGCATTGAAAGAGCAGCGTACTTCCGAGACAGGCCCAGCACGCTTCACCTAACCACACAGTCCAAGCGCCGCTCCACTACTCTTCTTCGTCCGCGCCCCGTAGGCTCGAGCATCTTCGTTTCAATATGTATAGGCTTAGAAATTGATCAAGAAAAGACTACGCAAGACATTGGCATAAAATGGAGGTACCCACATATTCAAGCTCGCTAAAGATAATTAGCCCAGTCTACGTCGGGTGCTCATTACGGAATTATCACCAAGGCCTAAATTTACGGCGTGAATCCACAAATACGGAATGGACAAAACGTGTGAACAAGCACCGATTAAGTGGTTTCTTTGATGTGATAGAAGCAAAAAGAATTTTTTACTAAATCATTTGATGTAGAAATGCACCGCAATGAATGCCTATAGCGGAATCCAGCATTAATATCCCTTCGGTAACCTTGCTTCCAACTGGCGCCATTCTGCAGAACGGCTTTCTCACATGAATGCCACATGTAATTAAACAGACTGTACACATGGCGGGTGAAAGGCATGCACCTTTCAAAGGTTCTCAGTTGCGAATTTGATGAATTGCGGTAAGCGGATGATGCAGTAAAGATACGCTTAGAGTATGGGCAAAAAAAAAGGAATGAGACTGAGTGTTGAACCACCCTTACAAAAGTAAATCCTAGCATGTTGCCAAAAATTAACGCAGAATCTTCTTTGGGAAGTGGCGGACTTCTGAGTAAGCGTAGAATTTTATTGCACATTGAAGCATTCCCGATATTATTGTTTAAGGAGCATCTTTGTCTTTCTATCACTTGTCAGTGCCTATAGGACGATTTTATAGAAGGGGCATCCCGTGGAAACCAAAGCGCGTGTATGTCATAAATATTTCAGAAAGTTACGATTTTCATAATGTGTGCGTACCTTCATGTCACTTCAATATTCCAGAAAGAGCTTGTGTTTCACTACCCCGAACTTCAAAGAATCCTTCAAAGAAAGGGACATTTTACATTTGTATTGCACCACCCACACACAGTTCAGATGCACTAAAGTTCTACAAGAATAGGTTTGTAACGTAACAATAAAGAAATAAATAGTGTACATATAGCCTTATGCTTGATGGGGTACTGACACAAAATTTCGTGGGTGAAGTAGCTTGCGGGATCGACTACCGTGAATATGCGTGTATCTCCTGCAAGAGAGGAAGATAGAGAAAAAAAGGAAGGCCGGGATGTTAACCAGATCTTGGCACCCGGTTTGCTACCCAGCACTGGGGGTGGGAAAATAGGGGCAAGAAAGGAGAGAGAAAGAAAAAAACGCTCGTGCACTGCAAAATATCAGCTTCCCTGACGTGACCCCGCTACTTCTCCAACGCGACCACGCTACAGCGAGTTATGGCGACGTCATGGTCGCCAGTTTTTCTTCGGTCGTGTTTGCTTCACAGACTACTACTCGGCAACTGCTAACAAGTCCATGGCCACGGCAAGAGTTGAAACTTGTGTTTGTTACATTACTGTCCCATTTTCTATTCGAAAAAAAACTTCTTGCTGCAGATTACGCGGAAGTGCGTCACAGTTTCGTGTGCTGACAAAGTCAACCGTACCCCTTGGCTGCTTCCGCTAGGTGGTGATAGTTGTACCTGACGGATTTTAGTTTTTGAAACCGAAACTCAGAGTTGTCCCAAATACTGAGCCTGTTATTCATTATCTGTCAGGTGCTGCAGAAAACAGTGTGTCGCGTTTTGACTTACAGAGCCCCGGGAACACAATCCAACAAAAAAGAAAAATCACAGCATATTCACGAAGTGCATGATGGTGAGTGGGGTGAGGCGTTTATTATTCCGTCCTGCTTCTCTCCCTCCGTTCGTTCTTGCTGCCATTCGTCCTTGCGTCCGTCTGTGCGTTCGTCGGTGCATGTGTCCATTCATGCGACCGTCCGTTCGTGTATTCGTTTGTGCGTCCGTCTATCTGTCTGTCTGTATGTCTCTCTGTCCGTCCGTCCATCTAGCAAACACTCCAAGTACCGCTATCTCGCACCTTTTCTTCATATATTCATCCTATACAAGTACCGCCATCCAGCAGACATTCTAAGGACTGAACAAGAAGTGGCTACTACTACATACAAGAAGCATGGCGTAAGGAGCTTCGCCCTTAAAAAAACACGAGGCAAAAATTTTGAATCAGTATCCCTTTAAGGCATTTGCCTTTCTGTCTGTTTTCAAGCAAATGCTCAGCAAAAAAAAATTAAGGTCTAATCTGCGTCAAATTTTTATAGCAATGATCGTCTTTACAAAAGTGCTTATAGGTGTTTGAAAGAGAAGCTTCTATGAAGAAAAATATGGGTAACTGTGGAAGCACAGCAGTATAATATTATAGCGAGTTAGCCACATGAATACATTCAGGTATTCCGCTTCAGGGGAGGGGCTAATAAATAGAATAATAATCGTAATCATGGTGAACAAAAATTTGCAATGCCACTATTACGCGACAAAAAGTGTCATAATAAAACTGTTGAAATGAAATGGCCTGGCTGTTTAGTTATTGGATTCTATAAGACAACGATACAACGTGGCCACTGTGTAGCGTCATTTTTCTCCTAGTGTTGTTTCGTACGCTCTGTGTGTTAAGTGTTCCCACTGGCACTAATAGTAGTTCCGTTTCTTACATATCGGCCGTGTCACCATTACTTTTAGCGCATCAAACGCTTGTATTTAATTTTTCAGGCTCTTAAAAAAGTTTCATCGCGGCAGTACTCTGGAACGAAAAGAAAGGCTCGAATTCTCACAGCGCACTTGGAGGCGTACAGATGCGCTGTGCGCCGTTCCTCTGGCATTCTTCGCCAGGCAGGAGTAGAGTCCCCCCTGTGACCGACGCACTCCGTGGAGCGTCAGTACGTGAAGTGAGCCGTTGCTTGCGACGTGTTGCCTGCCGGCCGAGAAAGGCCGCCCCGCGTACAGCCAGCGTGGAGGTCCCAGCAGCTGAGGGTGTGCCTTCACGCTGCACTCAAACCTCGCCTCTCTGCCTTCATCCACGGCCGAACCACCGACCAGCCTCAGTCGCACGGTGGGCGGGAATTCAACCTGGAATGCCGAAAGGAGTCGTCGACGAGATTAAGCTCGTGTGACAGCCCGTATTTTTATAATTGTGGTGATTAATATTAGGTCGTCGGTTTTAGTGATATGTGTGTTTAGAAAAAAAGGGTTAACGATTGAGAGCACTAAGTACTCTACTATGGGAGAGCACATAGCCGTCCCATAGGCCTGTCAGGCGCATTACATTCAGAGCGCCTACCTAGAAAAGTGCATTTTTCCCTCAAAGGGTGAAATGGTTCTTTCCAAAGCTTGCTACTTCATGCGCGTGACAATTGTGACAATGTATACAATGATCACACATACATGCAAGTAATACGTAGTAAAAATATTGACATCCAAATAGAAATAGTCAGTCATAACGTTTTTATGAAGTTTTTTTTTAATGTGCATATTGCCAAAAAACTAAACTTTTTTGAGCATCACACAATCTCTGGTTTTCAACGGGCTAACCAGGCACCACTGTTCGATGATCAAACCGAATTACAAATTTACTGCTGCCTTCAGAGTGTCTACGTGACACAAGTGGCGTAGCCAAAGGTCGCACGCTGCCCCCCCCCCCTCCCGAAATGTGTTTTTTTATTTATGGCAGAGTACAAAATGGCACTCTACCACATCTGCTGCCCGGACGGCCCCATCGGATCCAGGGGATGGGCCCCTACCCATCGGGAAAAATTTTTGCCTTCGTTTCCGTGTCGCTTCACATTGTAGTTGAAGCAACCCCCGAGGTCGTGTCTAAAGGTGGGACGAGAGTTTGTTTAGTAAAAAAATTAATTCCAAAATAATGCAATCATGTTATTGAGAATTTCTTCATCTTTCGCAAAATTTCCCCAAGCTTCGGTACCTGCGGGGTGAAAAGTGATTCTTAGAGTCTTTTCTTTGGCTCATTGAGAGGTTTGTACGTCTCTGTCTCGGAAAATATCAAGAATATAGGAAACAAGAATGCTAACATCAATAAATAGTAAAATTTCCATAACTGGAACTAAAAGCAGTAGCCTAGGTGCATTTTAGTGCCTTAGTACAAAAAAGCCATTCATGAATGGCAATTCTCATGCAATGAGAAACGTAAAAAATATTGATTTAGTTTTTGTCGTACGCCCACAATCTTAGCTGGCCTTCTGTAAAACGTCGGTAAGTACCTTCGTACGAAATTGCGAAGTTCTACAGGTATGGTAGAAATTACCAAAAAGCTATATGGTCAAAAATAAAAAAAACACATACAAAATCGCCGCTCAAGCAATCCGTAGAAGTGGTTAACCAGCGAAAGTTCAAACGTGTGGCCCCGATGTTTGGCAGTGGGTTCAAACTGACGCCGCACAGAAGCCTTTCACAATTATTGGTTACATTCTCGTGCTAATAAGTGAGTTAAGGAAAATGTTTGGCTTTGTTTTACCACAGTGTTCCTTTCACATGCCGCAGATTGTGCCCCGCATGATCACGTTCACAGAGGAGTGTAACGAGTGATTAGCGCTTCGCCATGCGTTAATCACAGTGATTGTTCTCGAACAACAGGTGGTCACAGACGTCAAAGCCGCAGCTAAAGTGCCGCTGAATAAATTGCCACCAAAAGCAGGCGTTCACCCCGGTGAACGCCCTCACGTAATTTTCGCGTTGACGCTGTCGTGCCCGCAAAGGCGCTTGTTCGGCGCGGCGTGTTGCAAGCGTTTGAAATCGCGAGTTGCCCCGGCAGCGCGGTTTCCAGGATCCGCCCCACACCAGCGCTTGTATTCCCGTTCGCGATTTAGCGCGGCTTGGAAGGCGGCCGGGACATCGGTACGCAGTTGGTGCCGGCACTCGGCCTTTCGGGGCCGTTACTGCGTCTGGACTGAACCACCAGCACGGCGAGCACAAGCTCTCTCATGTTTCTATTGTTGGCGCTCTTCTACCGTTGTCCGTGGCTCACCGATGCGTAACCCATAACATGGCTTACCATTAATGATATTGCTAGTGATATTGACTTAAAAACAACTGGAAACCATGCAATAAAAGCGTTTTTTGTCACCAAGGAAAAATGAATTTACTTCTTGTAAAGGGTACAGCTTCTGTTCGATACACTTTGAAATTTTGCTGTTTTTCTTTCTTTTTCCTATTAACCTAAAATTGTTTAATTCATAGCTCATTTTGTTGTCATAATTTCGGAAGAATTGATCATTGTATAAATAACACATTATATTGTATTCATTGTAACTAATGTATTGTTCTGTGGCGTTAGTATAATTGTTATGTTCCGCAAAAACTGTCAATGTATTGTGCGCTCTCGCTTTATGCCCTGTAAAACGGGGGCTCGAGGCTTGTCAAGTGAATAGTTTCACTTTTTCTCGGGCCCTCGTGTTCCACAACACACAAACTTGTGGACGAAATAAAGTTTCATTTATTTGATTTGATTTGATTTGATTTATATTCCCTTAGAGGTTCAGCAAGAACTGCTCCGCGCGTGCTCAGGGCCCTGGCTGTGACGGGATGTACGACGCTACTTACAATTCAGCCAATGACAGGCGTGCTTGTGCTTTACGCTGAGAACGACGTAACTAATAGTACAGCTAATAAAGACTACTCGTGACATCGCTGCCAAACAGTTTTTTTTGTCTCCTATCCATATACAGCTTTCACTGCAAAAACTTATGTATAGAATTTGAAACTTCAAAATGTATCGTTCCCATGCAACCTTCAACTATTCTATAGTGTGTGAGTGAGTGTGAGTGATTTTAAATGAAAAGAAGAAAAAAGTCAGCCCCGTAACTGTTTCTCAGGAAGAGGACACCTCAACAGTAGCTCACGAGAGATGGGGGTAGAAAATGGAATAAAAGGACAGGATTAAAAGGTAAAGAGATAGAGAGGAAGGAGAGAGCAACGCGCAGGGACAGCGAACGACAGAAAACGACAGAAGTAAGGAGGAAATAGGAAAGTTGGACGCGGTCGCAGGAGTCCGAGGACGGGGCACCACTCGACGAGAGCTCTTGTCGGCGTCGGGAGATGGTGTAGGGCGAGCCCAATTGGCCAGAGCTGCGCTGTCGTCGCAGATCGCGGGGGCACGACTGGTCGGCACGAAATCCAGTGAGCGAGTCGCAGCGACTGCTTATAATATGAATACCAGGGATTGCCCATACCAAAACCACGACATGAGCATGAAGCAAGCAGTAGTGCGGGGCTCCGGAAATTCCGAACATCCCATGTTTTTGAACGAGCACTGGCATTGCACAGTACGCAGGCCTCTCGTATTTTGTCTCCATCAACGAATGACTGTAGTGGCCAAGATCGAACCCACCAGCGTAGGGAAAGTATAGCCGCGCACCATAACCACTTAATGACATGCTTTAGCCGCAAATCACACACACACACAAAGTAAAGGAACACTCAACGACAAGCACAAGCGGATTGTTTCTTTTACTGTGTGTACGTGTGTGTTTTTGCGGCCAAAGCATGTCATTAAGCAAGTACCAACTAGCCAACAATCAGTATTGTTATCATAACCACTCTTCGAGCAGTACTGTAAAATTTTATAGCTTCGACATTTATTACCACAGCTGTACAGCTAAGTTTCGATACTCGCTTTCCCACTCTTACGCCAACGTCACCCAGAGCGTTCACGACTGCTTACTTCTTGCACTTGCTGACCCGGAGGTCGCGGGATCAAATCCCGGCTGCGGCGGCTGCCTTTTCAATGGAGACGAAAATGTTGTAGGTCCATGTGCTCAGATTTGGGTGCACGTTAAAGAACTCCAAGTGGTGGAAATTTCCGGAGCCTTCCACTACGGCGTCGCTCATAATCATACGCTGGTTTGGGGACGTTAAACCCCACATATTAATCAGTCAATCAATTAATTAAACAATCAATCAATCAATTATTTCTTGAGCTTCAAAAACTTCATGCAACTAAGCAACGTTGTGTCTAAGATGCTGAATGCATGTTCAGATAGATAGATAGATAGATAGATAGATAGATAGATAGATAGATAGATAGATAGATAGATAGATAGATAGATAGATAGATAGATAGATAGATAGATAGATAGATAGATTCAGTAAAAAATTTGCTGTGGCTTTGCCCGGCTAAGCCAGGATATATGTGACGTGAGCTAAGGGTCAGCCGATTATTGTTAGCTTCCCTGGTTGTCCGAGTTAGCTTATGCTTACTGCTTGCTGCACGGGCGGACATGCATGCAGGCAGACGGACGGACGAAAACATGGACGAACTATAGCGAGTGGGCTCACACGAGTCAAGTGCCAGCCCGCTAGCGAGTGACACGTCACTCCAGAAGCTGCCACGACGTTTCTGACGTGCCAGCAGTGCAATATGTGACGTCACTGCTCCTTGTGCATGCGCAGCACTGCATAGTGTAAGCCGGGCGATACTGCTCAACCTCAGCCAATGTATTTTACGCTACGAAATTTTTCTCGTATGCCATGGTCGTCGCCAAGATGCAACATTCACCGTACCACGCATAACACTTTCGCATACTGCCCGAATACATGTTTTGCGTGAATTACCACTCCTTCGTGCAAGGAAAGTCTTTAGGCAAAATTACTTGAAACGACCTGAAGCTACTCCTACCTACATTATTATATACTGAGAGTGGTTTCGTGTAGAAACATTCCGTCTAATGTTCAATCTCGGAGGCCATCGTTCAGTATACGAACACCTCAAGCGCATCGTGTATCTCTCTATCATTGCAATCAGTACATGCAAAGAGTGACAGTTGTTTTCACTACATTAGTTGATTGTTTATTGCACATTGATATATGATAGCTCGAACACTGCATGTCATTGTTTGGCAGCTATTATCACCATTTCAAGTGAATCGGATAATCTACGCTGGCGCTCACGCATACACGACACAGATAGAGTACACAGCTTGAGCCGTAGACGGGCAAAGCCATCACACTTACGACTGGCACATTCATTGCGGACAAGGTGTGACATGCTTAAGTTAAGTTTGCAAAGCCTCATATATATGTGTGTCAGTAGTTCAGGGGGTAGAACACCCAGCATG